CACCATTCCGCCCGGCACATCAACAACTTCGTGGAGTACCAGGTGGGCACGTGGCGGGGAAGAATGTGTGTGTGTGTGTTTGTGTGTGTTTGGGGGAGCGTGCGCGTTAGAGCGTGTGTACATGCGTGGGCGTGTGTGCAGGAAGAAGGGAAGGAGAGGTTCTTTCCCCTCTCTTTTTCCCGTTTTTACCAGGGAAACTATACGATCAGCCCCCTCCCCCCACAATCCACAATCCACAACCCCTTAGCCCTTTCCCCCTCACATCGGACACCACCTTTCCCCCTACACCTTCTTCTCCCTTCCCCTTTCCCCCCCCCTTTTTCCGCATCCTCTCCCACCCCACCCCACCCCACCCCACCCCCCCAGGGTCACCGTCTGAGGCTGGTTCAGCACTATTGTCACGTGGTGGACACCCGCACCAACAAGATCATCGGCGCACGTAACCCCGTGGAACCCCTCAGTCACGCCGGTTTCGAGTTCCTGCACGCGCCCTTCGACGTGTCCGAGATCCGCGTGTGCATGGCGGACCGAGTGGAGCGACCCGAGCCCTTCTACCGCCACTAGCCGCTTTGCCAAGTGGGGGGCCTGCTGCGTCTGGTAGTTGTTTGTCTAGCCGCTGCTCTCTACTCTCCAGCTTGTGCATTACATTATGAGAAGCTTTGTGGAAGCTTCTGGAAACTCCTGTGGCGGGAAATCCCTCTGATGGAAACCGTGCCCTAGGTTTGTGCTTTGAAGGAGGAGGGTCATAAATAACCCTGAGGTCGCAATTGTTTTTCCTGTGGACTGGTGACTGAAGACTTAAGAAATGCCCCTGCTTTAGCGCGCGTGTGAGTGCGTACGTGTGTGAAGCCTTTTATGACATACGTGCGTGCGCGCGCCTGTATTTGAACGTAATGGTCAGGTGACCATAGACTGCTACATATACTGCGAGAGACGCACGCACGGAATCCAGGTGGGTGTGGGAGGGGTGGGCGCGATAATTGTTGACCATGGTCTGCGTCCAGCCCAGGCTCGGGCAATTGCTGCCGTCAAATGCTGTGGCTATGAAGCGTCGTGCTTTTACAGCCGTGGCTATTCCTCGAGGTGGAGACTGAATGCAAGAGGCCAGGGCTGGGAACGGGCCAGGGTGTCATCTTGAAGCTTTATGTGCTTCAATTCACTGTTTGATGGCGTTAGCAGCAAGAAAGCCGTGTAGGACGCAGCTGTGTTGGGACAGGGAAAAGGTACACAGAACCTTTTCGTGCTCCGGGAGATATACTGCGCGTCTCCGCCTAGATGTCCATACGCTGTTGCCTTCCTCCGCAACCTGACTGGAAAGATCGTTTCTGATTAACCGGAGGTTACAAGTTCGCGTACCGTTGTTTAATAGTTGCTCTCATGCCGAGCATGAGGAACATCCCTTAGCAGGAAGCGCGGTCTTCCCGACGCCCGCAAAATGTCGAGGCAACGCTAGTTGACAAGGGCTGTTTCTTCTTGCTTAGGATAAGATTAGGATCAATTCTTAGATAAAGGAAATGTGGGCGCGGGAAGAGTACTGAATAACTTGCAACAGCAGGCAAACACTATCAAGCGGATCTATTTAATGCGCCAAAGCGTACATATCCTGTCAACAAAAATGGAAGGAAGCATTGTGCGTGTGTTTTCAACACTTTCTTCCAATACTGCTCTCTTGATAATACATGATTCGTAATTCCGGGGTTGCAGGCGTACGGCGCGGCAAAAGGTTAAGCTCCAATCATTGTGGTGCGATGTTGCTGGAATAATGCACGCTTGATTATGTAAAAAACGCCTTATAGTCCAAGGGAAAATTTTAACAGATTCCGCAACAGGGCACAAGGAACTTTGTAGCAGGGGCAGCTGCCACGCGAAGTATCTTCCAGCGTCAACTTTTTTGTGTGAGGTCTTCGACATGCCTGACGACGACATTTTGTGTAACAAAACTGCGGTAAAAGAGCACGGCGGAGCCAAAATCGCTGCAGGCGACGCGCTGCCAGGAGGCCGAGTGAGCGGAACGCGTGTCGCAACGAGTTGTTATAGAGGTGTTTGCTGGCATAGAAAATCAAAAAGGTAAGCTATTCCCAGCGGTTAGGGCTGCTCACACTGTCCACCGGCTCACGCCCTGTCGTTATGAGTCAGGCGGGAGACGATGTCCTGCTCCACTCCCTTGCATCTTGCATGAGAAATGCTAAAGCCACCCAATGAATATACTACAACAATCGCATTTGCAAGGATGTCAAGAATGTTTGGAGCTGCCAGGGCATGCTCGTAAGGGCGGCTCCATTCCAGTCTGACACAATGCATGGCAACATAAATGTAGCTGTGCGTGCCTTATCGTCTTGCTTTGCTTTTTTCCCACGAGTCTTAAACTTGTTAATTGCCATGCGGAATCGAACGCCGGTAGTTTTTGTCAACAGGTGACCGTTGCCCGTAAAAACCTTTCCCTCGGAACGAATCGAGCGTTCATTGCACATACCAGCAATAACGTACATTTTACTATGGTATTTGCAGGTGGCAAAGCGCTATCAACAGTTCTGGGCGACATGTGTATCTTGGATCGTTCGATACGGAGGAAGAAGCGGCCCGAATGTTTGACAAGGTCGGAACCTTGGCCTTGGAAAATTTTAATATTTCAAATTGTAATTGATTCCAACATAAAGGATATCTGCAGCGAGACTAAAGTACCGGCTTTGCAAACAGTGGTTCGTTCGTTTCTTGGAGATCTGCATGGCAAATACTTATTAGCCGGTGGACGCCTAGTTCCCGATCTTCGCACAACGCTATAACGATAATAATCAAGAGCTTGATTCTTTTTGACCCCGACTAAGGACTCACCCACCACTGCGTATGCGCCGTATGTTGCAGGTGGCCATCCGAATTCGAGGCGCGAAAGCAAAGCTTAACTTCCCATACAAGGTAAATTTGCGCTGTGCGATGCCACGCATTTAAATATTGGTTAAAATGGACGTTAGTTATAATGGATCCGACCGGACTCCCGCTACTGCCGGCACCCATAAGCTGTGTAGGCCAGGAACAGCCTGACGTCATAGTAATAAGCCGAGCTTTGAGCCAGGCCATCCCCACAATTACAGGCGCCGCTATACTCATAGCAGCGGTCGCTACCTCGGCTCGTGCCACCGAGGCTCGCGAGATCGGTGGAGAGATCGGTGGTTTCCTAATATGTATAAATAAATAATAAAAATTATTATATTTTTTCAGTAATAGTAATTTTTCTCATTGCTCTCAAGCCGCTCAGGTAGTCCTGCCTGATCGTCCTGCTTCTTCGTATTGTTGGTTGTGTAGGTACGCTTAGGGTTTTCTTTCCCCCTTTTTTGTCCCCAGGATTACGTCGGACCTGACGGAGAATTTCTCACAGATCCGAAACTGGAGCAGCTGGTGCACGCGGCATATAAGGCCCTTTTAGAGAAGCAGCAGCGCCACAGGGCGATTGAAGATGGCCACGCCGCTGGCTCCGGCGGCGGCGGCGGCAGCGGCGCCGGCGCCAAACGCCGGCGATTGGGATCCGCCGCTGCGGGCCTGGCATCCGACGATTCAGAGCCCGGCGACCTGAACTGCTCAGTCGGTCTGCCGCTCTCAGCTGTTCCTTGGAACGCTGGCCGCCTGGGCTGGGGTCCAGGTCCAGAACGGTGTGCTGGAGCCAACGTCGGCTACGACTTCGGCTGCAGTCCAGGAGGGGGAGGAGGTGACGGCTCTGACGCCGTCATGCATCCCATGCATGGCGCGATGGGTCGTACGGGTCTCTGGGGCCCTGTTGCTGGCGTCGTCGCCCCAAGCGGCGGCCATGGTCCAGCGGAGCCTCTGTCGCCGCCGTCGCCCACAGCACCGCCGGCGGCTGGGCAGTGTGACGCTGGGATGGCGCCGCTGACGGCACAGCAGCCCGGCGATCAGCGTGTTCCGTACCATCATCATCATCAGCTCCAGCAGCAGTTTCAGGATCAACATTTCGTGCCCAAGGATGCGATTGGCCTTACGCCTGGTCACTTCGGTGACCATGGCTGCGGTGGGGGGTTGACGGCAACGGCGACGGCCGTGGCAGGGGCGTCGACAGGGCTGCCGTCGGCGGCAGTCCACAACCCCCCTACCCCCTATGGTGGTACCCCGCGGCATCGCGCTTACGCGGGCTTATGCCTTGATCTTGGGAGGCCGGAGGTGGCTGGCGGTGTTGGCGGCGGCGGCGCCGACGGAGGCGGCGGCGACGGTCCTGCTGCTGCTGCTGCTGCTGTTGCTGAGTGCCTCATCGGGGAGCTTGGCGGCCGTAGTGGCTCCGCTGCGCCAAATACGAATTGCCGTCTTGCCGACGGCAGTGACAACGGCGGCGGCGGCGGCGGCAGCGGCGGCGGCTGCTGCGGCGGCGGTTCTATCACGGCTGTCGCTGCCGTGGTTGATTCCACTGCAAGGACGCACGAGCCTGGAGCCGCCGCCGCCACCGACGGCGGCGCCGACGGTGTCCGTGAACTGGACGTGGTTTCGTTAATCAGGCAATTCATAAAAGGTATTAACGGTCAACTGCCTCTAGGCATGGAGATAGACTCCCTAATTCCATGTGCCGATGGGAGCCTACTGGGCTACACCTTGGTCCGACGGGTGGTTTCGGAGCGGCTAGCGGAATTGTGCAGCAGCAGTAGCAACAACAGCCGCAGTGGCAGCGGCAGTGCGGTAGCCCATGCTGGTGGCGGCAGCGGCGGTAACCACGGCAGCAGCGGCAGCGGCGGCGTCAATACTACTGCCTTGCCAACGGCAGCAACAGCAGCGGCGGCGTCTGGGAGCAACAGGGATACGGCAGGTGATGGAGCGGATTGTACTGCCTCTGGGTCATGCACGTGCTTACGGGACAGAACCCATGGTGGCAGTAGCGGCATCGGTAGCAGCCTGCCACAGATGTGTGGCAGTAGCGGCAATAGCGACGCTGCCGGCGGCGGCGGCGGCGGCAGCAGCAGCTGCACGGCAGGCGCCGTCGCAGGAGCCGGCATTTTCCTCCGCGGCACATACAGGAGCCTGGGCACCTACAGCACTACCGCAGATGCCATCCAAGCCTGCAAGTCGTGTCTTACGGTGTTGATGGAATACAAGGACGAGCTGTTGTTGACGAGCGCAGCTGCCACCGCGCCTGGACTTCGATGCGGTAGCGGCGGCGGCGGAGGCCGTCCTGTCGTACGGGCTCCGCTGGCGGCGGCTCCGGCACAGGCACGGCCTCCCGCCCCGAAGGCGGCCTCGATAGTGCTGTCAGCGGCCACGGCGGCGGCGGTTGAAACGGACGAGCCGCCGGAGCGACCTGGCGCGGTGGCAGCAGGGGTATCAGGTCGACAGCAGGGGAACCTGTCCCGCGATTGTCCAGTGACCGAGCAGCAGCAGCAGCAGCAGCAGCCGCAGCCTCAGCAGCAGCCGCAGCAGGTGCAGCAGGTGCAGCAGCAGCAGCAGCAGCAGCAGCAGCAGCAGGTGCAGCCGCCGCCGCCGCAGCAGGTGCAGGTGCAGGATGATGATGCCACCGAAGGTCAGAACGACGATCATCCGAGGCAATTACAGCTGTTTGTACAACGGCTAATCCACCACCAGCAGCAGCAGCAGCTGCAGCCGCACCACCACCAGCAGCAGCTGCAGCCGCACCACCACCAGCAGCAGCTGCAGCCGCACCAGCAGCAGCAAGGTGGTCGCATCCACACACATCCAGCATCTCGCTACCTGGTTCAGAGTGGTCGTATTGTCGTACTTCCCCGCGAAGCAGACTTTCCGGAGGCAGTATCGGCGGCAGCGGGGATCAGAACACACAGCGGGAGCTTTATATCCGTTGCCGATGATGTGTACGACAGCTTGTACGACGCCGATAACACACTGTCACATCCAAAGCGCACGTGCATCAGCCGGCAAGCTGACGGCAGCGACAGCGGCGGCTTCTTGCGGTCGTACCCGCGACAGGTACAACAGCAGGGAATCGGCGCCGTCGCGGATGCTGACGAGCGGCAGCTGCATGCCGTACTACTCGAGCCTGTACGGCAGCGTCAAGAGATTTCGGAGCAGTTGCCATTTGCTGAGTCTCGATCTGCGTCGCATGTGCTCGCACAGCTCATTGCTAATTTGTTGGATCCATCACGCCATTTGAAATCGCCGCAGCAACAAGTACAAGCGCCAGGCAAGGCACAACAGCAGCAAGAACAACACCAACAACACCAACATCATCAACAACAACAACAACAACAACAACAACAACAGTACCAGCACTGCAAGCAACAAAAACATTGTTATCACGCTCAGCAAAACGAGGAGCAGCAGCAGCAGCAGCAGCAGCAGCAACATCAGGTTATGCGCACCTGCGACCGCCGAGGGGAATGCGGCTCCTCCGAGGTTGTTAACGATACCGAAATTGTATTGTTTGGTGGTGGTGGTAGTGGTGGTGGTGGTGGTGGTGGTGCTACCGCGGTTTCTGCGGCGGGCGGATCGCCGACGTCGGCGCTAGTGCGCGGGGGAAAAAGAAACGGAGTCGCGGCAGACGATGGTGACGGCAGTGGGTACGGCAGAAACACCAGCGGCAGCTGCGACAGTACGGATGACACTTTCCTGCCGCCGCCGGGGCTCCAACGGCGGCTCCCGCCGCCGTCGCTGCATGCCGTACTACCTGGCGGCGGTGGCGGCAGCGGCGGCGGAGGTCATAATCGTGACGGTGGCGTTTGTTGCCCGGCGGGACCTAGGTACCCGTTGCACTACCCCGGCAGACCAGTTGTCGTCGTACAACGCGCCAACGACCCGCTGGCATCAGGGGAAATACGGCTCGGCGGCGGTGGCGGCGACGATGATGCCGGCGGCAGGGTCGACCGCAACGGCAACCACCACCCTGCACAGCGGCACTGGGATATGGGGGCGGCGGCAATTTGGCGGCGTCACGGGGAGGCCGCCGCGTTGGCGTCTTCATCCGCTGCCGCCGCCGCCGCCGGCGCCGCTGACGGAACCGCGGCAGCTGTCACGGCATCGGCACCGACAGTCCTTTACGAAGTTGCGGATGGAATGGCTCTAACGCAGACGACGACGACACTGTACGGCAAAAGGTCACCAATGCACGACCAGCGCCGTGCGACAAGTGTATCCTGGTGGCAGTATCAGCAGCAGTCGCAGCAGTAGCAGCACGCTTACCATCGTTTCGCCTGGCTTATCAATGACAAATGTATAATCACTGGTACGGCTGTTAGTACGGCAGTCGTTGCATGCTGGATTCAGCGGCATGGCCAAAAAAAGGTATTCCAGGAGCTCTGGTATAATGAAGAATGTTGAGGCTTGGATACGTCTCTTATTCGGTTGGCCGTCCGGAGGTGGATGGCGTGGCCTTTCTTGCGTTATGGTGCGTTATGACGCCAATGGAATTTGCAACATGAAGCCTGATGAAAACATGATAGGTTGGTGCACGGGGCCAAATGCTATATATGAGATGGAGGGCGTGGAGGAGGCAAAAGCCGATTGCGACAAGCCGTGCACAGAAGAGCGTGTCGCGTAACACCTCTGCTGAAAGGTGCATGGAAATCTGGTCTAATAACATCCACAGCCTGCAATCCAACAGTCGGGAAGCAGCATTTAAGTCGTATTCTAATTTTTAATTTAATAAAGTCATATTGTCTCTTCAAGTTCGGGAATTCGAAAATGCAACTGAAGGTCGCTGCAACTCTCCATCAGAACTATTGACTGAGGTGTCTGTCACTAAACATCTGCCGAGCTGTGTGGGTCGCGTTTCCCTTGGAGCAATCCGTTTCGTTTTTTTTTGCCGAACCTAGACAAACTCACGTTGTCACTGTCCTGCTTTAAGACTGGGATAGGACTTTTTAGCGGAGCAACTCTGCTAGGAGAGCTAAGAGCATGAAAGTAAGTGCCAAAGCCAGTGTCTTTTTCGTCACGGCATGAAAACAGCAATCATGCATCGCGGTCAATCACGCGCGCATCCAAACTCAACAACTGAAACAGCGGCCGGCGCTGATAAAGTCGTCCTGTGTCCGTGCTTGCGATAAATATGCCACGTCCTTGGGATGAAATAGTTTGTTATATTATCCGTGATCCTGGAAAATTGACACGATAGCGCCGACGCCGCGCAGACCTGGGGTTTTGGGGCTTGCGAATTGGCTGTAGCGTCGTCCGGCGGAAGCGTCATCCCTAAAGCCTTGCTGGCTAGTCATGGTGTGGGGGTTACAGCCCCCTTTCTCTTGCAGGTTTGTCTGTTTGTGTACAAGCTCCGCTTGCTTGAGCCATAAATGGCAGAACTGTTCTGTTTGTCAACACTCGAAGGATTGTGTATCAGGGACATTATGTATTGTGTTTGCTGCAATCATGACCTGAGCCGCGATGTGTGTGTGTGTAGTATGCGTATGTGTCTGCGTGCAAAAACTTTGGGTTCAGGGTATTCATTATCGTACGGCAGCTTGCGTGTACATATGTGTGTGTATGTGTGTGCATAGCATGCAGGCTGTCCGCTTGCGCAGCCCTGTGGCATTGCTGGTGTCGGCTGGCGCACACACACTCACACACATATGTATGCGACTTTGGATGAATGAATGGAAGCTACAGACAAAAGTCGGCGTGCATGTTCCTTGTGCTAATATAATGAATTTATTACTGCGCTCGCGCTGTATTTGAAAACATAACCACCTGTATTTACGGAAGGCGGTTGAGGAGGAATTTGCAACCGCGATAAACTGGCTGAATGGCATTGTGTAGCATTTTAGTTTTTAGGTGTGTGTGGGAACGTTGCCGTGTGGTATCTAAGCCTAGTGGCGTATATTATCTGACTCAGAGAATCTGAGAGATGAAACAATAACGTCTAACGGAACGATCATTAAAAAAAGTTGTTGGTCGGTTGAAGTGCCGGAAAAGTGCATCGGCGGGAAGAAGCCGCAAGAAGCTCTGAGCCCCGACTGCCACGCTCTAGGTGTTGCGGCTACCCTATCACGCTGCGGCGGGGTGGCGTGTTTTCTGAGCCCAGGAGAAGACACGGTAGCATATTCATGTCACGCGGGGAAGCTTCAGCTGTTGTGGCCGTGTGGATACGAGCAGACGAGGGGCCGGCCTTACCGCGGAGGTAATAAACGGATGGAAATAAGCGAAATTCGTGGTGTACGACGACTCGACTCGTGGTGTACGACGGAGGTGATTCTTTAAAAAGGAAAACGCGATGTGTTGTCTGTTAACATGTATTTAAAGTGGATGCAGATGGATTCAAGGGAGTGAGTGGGAGAGGAGATGCGATTGTTACAGCGGACCCCGAACGGGTCGAGTGGAGCGCCCCTAGGAACGCCTCCCGCACAACACTGCGGGAGAGGAGATGGGGAAGGAGGCAAAAGGGAAGGGACGTGCTCGGCTTCAGTGTGACGATACGAGAACTTGCGCGACCAGGTGTCATAAGCACCGGTCCAACTTATCAACATGGACGGGATGGCGGCGGTGCATGTTGTAGATCATTTCTCTTTTTCTTATCGCTGCTAGCGCATGGCTCGTATCGCCGTACCTTGACGGCAGCGCAATGCTGTAAATCCTTGGGTTCCCTTGAAGTCTCAGTCCAAGGCGTTTTACCTGACGCGGGGGCTCCAGAGAGGCATGGAGCTGGGCAAGTAAGATGCTTGGGGGCTGGGGCTGGGGGGCTTGGGGAATACCCAACATCATATTTTCTTCCGCATTCACAATCTCCGCATTCACAATCTCCGCATTCACAATCTCCGCATTCACAATCAAGACCACGACTTTTGGGGCGCCGAGAGGAGTGCCATATCGTTCAGGTGCAGCAGCACGCTACACCGGTATGGACAATACAAGCCAAAAATGCCAGGGTGATTTTTTTCTTGTGGTCTCAAGCACTTTGTTCCAGGCTTTCAGTCAGACATCGGCAAACGCTTCGGATGTTTCGGGTCGTACCGAAAACAGAAGTAGAGTTCCCGAAGCCGGCCGGCTTGGAGAAATAGGATCATACGCTGTATACGAATTGCCTCATTCCGCGGCCTTTTAACAAGAATCGTACTGGAAGACAGAAATAGACAAGTTGCCGAAACCAGAAGTACCCCGTTTGCCGATGTCTGCTTTCAGTTTGATCTTAAACCTGTGATTCGTTGTAACGGCGGCAACTGCCAACGGCTTTGCCGTGTCGCAAACAGAGAAAAAAATTACATAGGATGTACAGGTTTTAGTGACGAACTGAAGCTACGCCTGTGGCTTGCCCTGTAATTCCTAGAAATCTCAGCGCGGCCATGAGGATAGTGAGCTGTAAGTGTGCCACGCCTGTCAAACGCGCCGTCGGGTTAGTTAGGCGAACATCTGTCAGGTCTACTCAATGTGCTGTTTATTCAACTAGGCCGGAAAATTTGTATCTCAATGCAAATTATACAGCACCCGAGCATCAGGGTCCGGTGCAAGTCGTCAATTTGCCTGGCAAAGGCCGTGGCATCGTAGCTACGTCAGACTTGGAGCCCGGGCAACTTGTTCTCATCTCGAGGCCCCTGGCATATGTCACGTGTCCTATGGGAGCCATTCCTTCGGCAGAGGACCTGGCCGCCGTGTAAGCATTTAGTAGCGCATGGTTACCAGATTATCTCAGTATAAGCCTGTTTGTACATCGCAAACAGGATAAAAAATTCGAGTTATGGACCAGAAGAGTTGCGGATCCTGAACAGTCTATTTTCAGGAGTCGATCTTGACGATGACGATGACGACGGCGGCTCGGAGCTGGATGATTTTAAGCTGTATGGCATCATAGGTACTGTACTTAGTACTTGGATGGGGCATTGTCGCAGGCGTTGTTTTCAATTGGGCTTCGTTTTGTCGTACTGTGTTTTTCGAATGTGTGGTTTAAGTTGATTTTCAAGAGAATGCATTATGCATACACTCGCGCGAAGGACTTAATTTCCGGGATGCACAATTTGTGCAGAACGACTGCTCATCGCATAAAGGGGTATGGTCGACGTTACGGCAGCTGGGCCATATCCTCTTAGCCACCCTTTCCCCCTCACCCCTAGGCCCGGACTAACTTGCGCTGCGCTGAACAAGAAGACGCGGACGCTTCCATGACAATGTTTCCCAAACGATCACGCAGCGGCTTGCATCCTGCTACCTGACATGCCCTGATTTCCTCAAGCACCTGGCTGCTGGCTGGCTGCTGGCGGTCAGGAAGTAGGCTATAACCAACAGCATCTGGAGGTGACCCGACCCCAGAGCCCCGGGAGAACGAAACCCTTTCCCCCCCTTGTGCCGCGTCCCACTCGCACGCTTGAAATTCCTGTCCGGCAGGGCCGTACCTCGAGCGTCCCTCCTGGGCCTCCTCCCCCTACACACCTCACGACTGGTCCTCCTTCACTGCCATCCCGCAACAACACCATCCCTGTTTTGGCTTTTGGTCTTCCGTAGCTGCCTCTCTTTGAGTTCTATATTACGTAATAATGTGAAGGCTAAAATATTTTACTACTCTACTGTCGGCACAGGCTGCAATTCCTTCGGAGAGGAGTTCACTGACTTCCCCAGCAGTCTGGCGAGGAGCAGCCTTGCCACCACCACCGCCGCCACCACCACCACTACTAATGCAAATGCAAATGCATATCCTAATCGTAGTGCTAACACTAGCACCACTAGCAGCAGCGGGGATGGCGACAACAACGCCACCGCCGCCGCCGCTGCAAGCACTGACGAGGGCCCCAACAGCGGCAGCGCCGCTGCCGCCACTGCGGCTGGCTGTGGCGAGGTGGAGGTCATCGGCCATTTGGGCCTTTTCCCGTCCTTCAGTTTCCTGAATCACTCCTGTCTACCCAACGCGGTCAACTTTGTGGTGGGTGGCATTATGGTGGTGGTGGCCGCGCGGAAGATACGGCAGGTACGTGCGTGCCGTACAGCTGCACCCTGCATGTTTTTACAGCAGTGCACAGCGCCTAAGTAGAGTTTGCTCGCTTGACAGCTCCAGAACCCTTTGATTGGAACATCTTTTATATGGGTTGTTGGCTTATAGGGTTATTATAATTTTTAATCATTTCCTCTGGATGCATGCAGGATTTATCAAAGGCAAGAAGATTTGGGATCTAAGAACCAGACAAGAAGATCAATCCAGCGCTGTTCACAAATACTTACTAACTCAAAAAAGCTAACTTGTCTGAAAAAAACTTGAATAAACCGTCCGAGAGGATGACCAGCAATGCATAAAATCGCTCAAACCCACACACACTGCTATAAGGGGTCCGACGCAGAATCGCGAAAAATTAGCCCTCGGTTAGTGTGGGCTAGGAGAAGCGCTTTTTTCCGCCTGCTCCAACAGCACAACTGCTATATGCTTGCAACACCGCTCTGCTCACCCTTGCACTCGTGTACCTGCCATCACGGCGGCGGCGCAATGCGACATGTGGGTTAAATCATGCACACAAGCAGAAACCCCAATGACCCTAACAACCCGAAAACCAAATCCCAGGGCTCCGAAGTGCTCATCAACTATCTAGGGCGCGCATCGTTGCGGCCTGTGGGCGAGCGACAAGGGCAGCTGGCTGAGGGGTATCACTTCTCCTGTGACTGCCCGCGGTGTCGTACGGAGCTTCTGTACGGCTGTACGGACGCCAGTAAGGCCGGCGTGTCAGGCGGTCCGTGTGAAGGCGCTTTGTCGGAGGCTCTCCAGGTGTGAGTGCGTGCGTGTGTGCGTAGGTGTGTTCGTGTATATGTATGTATGTTGTTACAGGGTGGTCAACTTCGCCAGCGGCCCCCTTTCCCGGGGCAGTCCCTGCTCTCCCCTGCTAGAGGGGCACCCTAATCCGTCACCCCATCCGACTTCAGAATGTATTCGTTGGGTTCGGCAACTCACCACCAGCATCCAACCAAATCTAGCGGATCAACGGCGCATCAACTTAGTTCCTGGTCAGCTCGCAAGTTGATATTATCACGTCCTACACCGTCCATAAGATGGGGGGCCACCTCCCATTTCATCACTCCTCAAACACCCGAGGAGCCGGCAGGCGGATTTGAACCCGGGTCGACTGGGTCGACTGGGAGCAGAAGTCAGGCCTTAACCTCTGCCAGCCGCCTGCATGTATGTATGTTTGTTTGTGCAGATCAGTCTTTTGAAGATGTGAGGGCGACACCTTGAGCCCCCTTGTGTCGTTATGTGACCTCGAGGAGGGGGAGGGGGAGGGGGAGGGATGGCGCCATCGCCCCCTTTCTGCATAACAACTAACTACTGCCCCAACAAGCAATTGCATGGTCTTCCTCCCATCAATAATGGCCCATCGATTATATTCACTTGCCCAAACTGCGCCCTCCCCGTTTAGCTGTGCCCTCCCCATATCCCCCACATGGACCACGATAGACATGACATATAACCTGCGTCCATCTGCTTCGGCATTGGCGATAATGGGAATTGTTATGGTGATGACGTTGGTAACGGTGCGCTAGGACATGTTGACGCGATGCGACGAACGGAGCTCCGCACTGGACGAAATAGGCCGTACAGCAGCGGCTGCCGCCGGCAGCGGCGGCGATGGCACCGCCGCCGCTCTGGGCGCCCTACTCAGCAGTGTACAAGAAGACCTTACGAACTGGGAGGAGCTCGTTCGACGGGCGGATTTGCCCGCGGCGGCGGCGGCGGCGGCGGCGGCGGCGGGGGAGGAGGAACATCGGCAATGGCTGCGTGCAAGCGCGTTTGACCTCTACGGGCAATACGTCGCGCTGGCGGAGGCGACCGGGCGACGGTGGGAGGCGCTGACGGTTGTACGACAGCAGGTGGCGATCTGTGACGCAGTGGCACCGGCCAGCGACCTGCATATGTACTTAGAAGTGAAGCGGGCACTCCTAGCCCAGTCGCAGCAGGGGAAGACGGCGGCGGAGGCGGCTGTATCGGTGGCAGCGGAGGGGATGGCTATGGGGCAGGCGGCGGCGGAAGAGCAGGACAACGGGACAGGGACGGAGTGCGACGGGGGGGAAGAAAATGGGTGGCAGCGATGTATTGAGTTGCTGCGGCGGCGGTACGGCAACGGGCTGTCGGACGCCACGTTGGCGATGCTCCTGCGCGGGGCAGTGTACGGCCTGTCGCAGGTTGCGCTGTAGCCGTGACTGTATTACAGGAGCAGTTGCCGCTGCTACTGCCACCGCCGCCGTCGCAGCTACTGCTGCTTCAGCTGTTGATAATATTGGTAGTCTACATTTTCGCCTTCACCAGCGCTACCGCCATTGTAGCCGTTAGGTGTTGCTACTGCCGTCGCAATTACTGTAGACGATGCTACAGCCAAGGTCTTTGTTGTCATCTCTATGCTTAGTTGGTACTGTGTGGCCTAGGGAGGGCTGAATGCCCAGGTGAGCACCACAGCAGGTGTGCGTTACGCGTGTGTGGCTCCGTACGGCTCCACCTGAGTCTGTGCTTGCACACGCGCAACCTTCCTATTAACTAACAAAACAACTAACAAAACAACTAACAAAATAGCCAACGAAGGACCTGCCGTGGCTACGATAAGACAGGCAGAATACTTCGCCCCGGCGTACGGATTCTGCTGCACATGAAGTTTACCACACGCTGCGTGTAATTTTTATATATAAATCCAGAAAACTTTGAATAAAAATTATGAGATTTGGGTTTGAACGTAAGTTTGTAATTTCGAAAAGTAAGGAAGAGCCTGGGGGATCTCCTAGACCGCAACCCCCGTGTCGCCCGCCGCCGGAGCAGTCGCCTCCGTCGCCGCCGCCGCCGCGTCCGGCGGATGGCGACGCGGCGGCGCAGACGGCTGCGCTCCCTGTTCAGAGGCGGCGGATTTGCCAGTACGGAGAAGATGTTCGTACTGCGGATACAGTCCCGCTGCCAAGCGCAGGACTAGCATGTTGCGTATCTGTGTGGCTGTCAAGTGGGCAAAATCGGCCAACAGGAAGCCTCGACGCTCGTACTTGTCGCGGCTGCCGCGATAATAATGGTCGTCAAAGTTGCTGCCGACGGCGCATCGCGTCGCAATCACAACCGGAATGTGCGATGTCCAGCGCGCCAGCTGTTCGATGAGCGCTGCGGCGAGGCTGCCAGTGCCCGGCGCCGCCACGACGAGGCCTGCGAGCGACGAAACCAAGGCCTCGGGAAGCAAACCCGCCGAAACGCCGGTGACCCAGATCGCCACTCGCCTGCCGATGGCCGCAACGGCGGCGGCATCGAGCGACGCGAAGCGCGGATCGCGCCAGGCGGCGGCATCGAGTGGCGGACCGTAGTAGAGCCTCACGCGGCCCTCGCGAACCTGGAACGGCAGTTGGAGGTTGGCACTTGGCAGGCGAATTTTGCTGGTTGCTGACGGTTTATATTTGGTAGTTATCAGTGCATTACGGTCTCAAAAACACACACACGCGCGCGCGTGATATTCCCCCTTTTTAATGACACAATGCTGAGTTCAAGAACCCCACAGCGACGTCAACAAGTGATGAAGGATCAACACATACTGGCATACAAACACGTGCACTCGCACACACTCGCCTGACCCACGGGTCCCGGATGAGACTGGAAAGCGCCCATCAGCTGACTATCGACCTTACGAACGTAGCGAGCCAGATGAATGCTGTCATTTAGCACCACCAGAACTCCGAATTTGGAGGCATCTGGGGAGAGGGCGACCTGCGCGTCCGGCAGGGATTAACGCCAGCGGGAAAATGTTCTTGTTTGTGCGTCGGACCTGACGGCGCAAGGAGTCGCACTCGCACTTGCCTGGACAGCCTGCTGAACATTGGAGCTGCCGTCGTACCCTTCGATGTCGTACGGCTTCATGGCGCCCGTAACCACAAGCGACGCCGAAGCTGCCACTAGAGCATTCCCCAGCAGAAGATCAAGACAGAAAGCAAATTCTTCGAGCGTGTCTGTGCCGGTGACAAGGATGAAAACGGCGGAACGGGATAAATTGTCCCGGATGGCATCCCGCGCCGCGAAGATGATTTCGTAGGTGAGATCTGCGCCGCTGCGGACATTGAGGTCTATGCACCTTGAAGTATACACGCCCATGGAGACCAGGAACTCCGGTGAGACTATGTCATCCAGTCTGGCGCCGATTACCATGCACCCTGTCTTCGCATCTTTCGTCTGGAAAATCGTGCCTCCTGTTATGATAAACGTGATATGCATGGCTGTCAGCTACGCATGAAAGTTGATTAATTCAATTAGCAACAGTCAGCGTTGATCCAAGGCTCGGACATTAGCTTCTTCCTATTTGGTACGGCAGGTAGCGATAGGAAGCTTCGACGATGTTTATGCTACATGCATGATGAATCAGTATCGCAGTTGTACCCCAGTTGTCAGGGACAAAGTATTTTTGATAGCCGCTACACTTACCTCAGTAAGACTTATGCGTCCTCAGTCGTGGTCAACTGCACCCTATCGATCTCCTATAAATTTAAGATTTCGGAACTGCATCCCATACATTTACTCAACACAAAGGAGGCGTACAGCTCCATCTGCAACAATGACGGGTTTCATCCACGGCTTATGCATATGGCCTCCTGGTGAAGTTACAATTGCAAATGAAAAAATGTTTCATAAGATGCTTCCAAAAGACCTCAAACAATTGCGTGGATTCGTAAATGAAAGCTCACGTAATCTACTGACAGTTGTGGTTGCAAAGGCGACATGGGACTACCGTCTTTTAGCGGCCCTGAGGGAGCTTGCACGGACATGTTACATCATCGTGTGGCATCCTGACGCTACAGAAGATGCAACATCACGCATCCAAGCCTTCCAAGTCGGCGCAAACATGGTCACCAACAATATCGAACACCTACATGAGGCACTTCAACGTATCACAAACATCCATGGCACAGGTGATCTGATATGCCCCTGGTGCGGACTTGCCGGCCTCTCACAGCTGGAACTTTGGCACCATCAACCCCTGTACCACATAAACCAGGTACGGGAAGCAGCACTTCCCCCATCCCCTCCTACCCCACTTTTCCCATCGGGCGCCACCTGCTGCGGTACATCTTTCCACTTATCCCCCCCTCCTTCCCGGATGCCATCATCCCACAAACTTCATTTGAATCCCCACATCTTGCCATCAGCTCAACCTATCCAGGTCCCACCCATGCTAACAGTCCACCCTAAAACTCTAAAACCCCAAGCACATCCACGCCCCGTCTCCATGAAATCCCCGGGACCACACACGAATCACACGATCGTCCCTTCTATGGGCTAAAGCTGGCCAACGCTTTCCTCCCCCCTGTATTTTCAGCATCACTCGTCTGTAATTTGTTTGTCTCCCCCCCCCAAAATCCCCCCTTACAGCACGACAAGCATGACGTCCAGTGCCCAGCATGCCGGAGATGGACATCTCGTCTGACCCGCCACATCAATCTCTACCACGGGGTCTCGCAGCTAGTGGACGAGCGTACGGGCGTGTTCGCACTGGCTGTTGTACGGCGGCCCGAGGATGGCAAGTTCCTAATGGTGCAGGTAATAAATAGGCCGTGGTGGTACAATTGGCCGTGTTGGGTGCTGTGCTCTGAGTGATCGCTTAGTGGCTACTGGGGGTGCTTGGCTGCTTGGTGGTTTGTGTCTGCTAGACATTTGGGGGGGGGGGGGAGACTGAGCGACTAACTCTTCTGGGTGCTGAGCGCTCGCTGGCTGGTGGCTGCTGTTGCTTCAGCGCTGCCACCACCACTACCGCTGCCACCTCCGCAACTGTCACCACCACAACTACCACCGCCGCCACACCTCCTACCACCGCTGTCGCTGTCACCTCAGGAGCGGTACGGCGAGGGGTACTGGCTGCCGGGCGGCGGCGCGGATCCGGGGGAAAGCCTGCGGGAGGCCGTCGTACGAGAGGTCTGGGAGGAGGCGGGCGCGGACATAAGGGTGAGCTGTCTTGGTATGTACGACGAAAGGCCGATGTAAATGAACGCCACACCGCTGTCGTGCGAACGCTGTACGAATGACTTGGGACCAGGATATAGGAGACGACGGGTTTCGGTCGCCCGTCTGGGGGATTTTTCCAGTCCCCCTTCATTTTAATTCAGGCTCTGTCTTCGGCTTCGGTGTTCCTAGGGCTGGTGTTCTTCAGTCTCCCGCTGGACACACAAGAAGATGATGACATGTTTGTGTAGAAGGGACGCATTGCGGCACATAAGCGTACTCGCACACAGTCACAGTGGTAGAGCTTAACAAAAACCCCTGCAAACCTGTCCTTCGGCCTTTCCTGTTGCCTGAATAGGCCCCGCCGTTAGCGGCGATACATTGACCGTAATGATCGTTTCGAACATATCCACACCCACAAGTACAGCCAGGCTGCAAGGCTGAGCTTCATGGAATGTCATATGCGCACGCAGCGAGGGTGGGGTGGGGTGGGGTGGGGGAGTGGAAGCGGCTTGGTTGGGTCGAGCCGGTGGTAACCATGTGTGGTGGTGTGTGGGCCCCTGGGGGATGGTATAGAAAAGGGTGTGTACACGTTGGTTTCCTACACACACACAAACAAACACACACACACAAACACAGACACACATTTCCCACACTCGGCAACGCAGGTGACGGGCATCTTGACGGTCGAGTCCTTGCACCGAGGTGCCTGGAGGAGGATCATCTTCCTAGCGGAGCCGCTGCCGTCGCCGCTGTCCGCCGCCGCCGCCGCTGCTGTTTCCGCTGATGGTGATGCGGCCGTCACCACCACCGCCATTGAGCTCCCCGCAGCTGCGAACACCGCTATTAGCATTGAAACGCCAACAGGTCAGCCAGCAGAAGCGGTAGCACCAGCAACCACAACACCGCCAGCGGCGGCAGCAGCAGCAACAGCGGCAGCAGAACCAGCATCTATGAATCCCTCTACAAGTGCGCTACCACCGGCCCCTGACCCCCTCCGCTATCGATACCGCTGCAAGACAGTGCCGGATGTGGAATCTGTCGGTGCCTGCTGGGTTAGAGCGGAGGAGGTGGAGAGCTTGCCGCTGCGCAACCCCTCGGAGCCGCTGACGTGGATTCCTTGGGTCGCCTCCGGCGGCAAGGTGCTTCCCCTGGACCCGGAGGCATTTCCTGTTTTGGCACAGGTGTTTCCGGATTTCCCCTTGTGATAATTATTTATTGATATTGATAATGGTGGCATCGTAAGAGGAGAGCCACGAGCAGCTGGAGGGATATGGTGCAACTGAAGGCAAGGTATTTGCGCGAAGGTGGAAGTCAGCTGAGATTCGGCGCGACAGGGAGGAAATTGCGGCATGAAGGTCCCAGCTTGGAATGTGCTATATATCTAGGATTGGATGTGTGCAATGGGACAATTATTTTCTTATCTCCCCCGTTTGGCAAGAAACAGTACCTTTTCTCCCATCCTGGTCTGTCAGCCCTAGGAGCCGACCTGTTGGTACCCATTACAAAGAGGGCGGGGAAAGAGGATTGAGGATGCTGGACTTCCACCACCGTACACAAAACCCGTCGCGGACGATCTTTTCCTGCACAAGCACTCACGGATACGCACCTTACGCAGCACGGTACACACCGCGCCAGCAGAGCTTCGCGACAGAAAAAACGCTGAAGCTGAGGTTACAGCCTGACGACATCACCATCGTAATTGCACATGTGTGCTTTCGCACGCACGCACTTGTCCGCACAACATGATCGCTTTGTTTTTCCCATTGCTAAACGCCAGCTCAATTCAGTCAAGTCCAGTCCGGTCACATCCACTCTAGAGCCATAGGGTATGGTAGTGCCTGCCAGCAGGTTAACCTCCTGAATACTTGGTGAAGTGGAGAGCAAGTCGAGCAAAACAGGCACGAACCAGACCGCGATCAAGTCCGTTTAACCGGGCAAGAGTTCCCTACACCACCCACATCCATGGACGCGTCCAGGACTCTCTACCTCCCGCAGGGGCGAAAGCCCGCGCGCACCGGCTCATCTGGATGTGCCACAACGAGAAAAGCAGAAGCAAAAATGCGCGGCGATGGGCGCGATGAGACACGCCGCATATGATGATCCTCAAATTCATAAGTCCTATATAGCCGCCGCCTTAACGACAGGACGTCCACATGAGGTCTCAGACAGGATTGATACTCCCGGCCGCAGCTCCAAGTAGAAAAATAGTGCCATGCAGCGCACCCGATTTCCGTTGAAACCCTTCAACAGCAAGATATCCTCAAAAGGGGTGAAGGAGAAGGATCCTCTCTGTGTGAAAGCTGGACATAATTTCCCGGCTTTGCCCAGCATGAGCAACAACAAAATTGCCGGCAAGCTCATCATTCAATCCAGCCATCCAGAGAATATGTGGGGACCATAGACACGTGCTGTGCGCTACCGCATATCTTCCCCCAGCACGCAGTGACCGAAAACCTTGTGCGCCTCTTCTAATGACGATACCTCCCTTCCCCGACCTGTGGCTTGCTCCACATCAACCTTCAAAATGCGCAACCCATCTTTCCCCCATTTAAGGGCCCAGCTACCTTCAGCTTCCTCGTTGCACGCAGACCATCCGGGTTCCCAAAACGCATCACGCACTGGCCCCACTGAAACAGCTTCCCTCAGCTGGTTAGGCTCCCGGTCCAACAGCACCAAACGCTTGTGCCACCTTTTGTCTCGTTGCGTTCCGGGAGAGGCCGTCGCTCCAGCCGCTCGTGCCGCTGCTATCGCTATCCATGGAGGAGAAAAAGGGCGCTCTTACACCAGCTCAATCACAGCCATCTCGGTAGCATCGCCGCGGCGAAGCACCGGGTCCGTCTTCACGCGGGTGTAGCCGCCTGGCCGCTCAGCGTACCGGTCTGGAGCATTCTCAAAGAGGTTTGCCACAAGCTCCTTGTCGTACAGAAACCCTATGGCCTGAACAAAACAAAGCGCGACAGGTCAGACGCAATGGAAACATCGCCGTTGTGCAATGTTGAGTGGCTGCTGAGGAATAAAAGGCTTGGCGAATTGGCAAATATGGAGGAACCCCTGGCCATTTCACGTAAATGCCCACCTGGCGACGCGCGTGCAGCGAGCCGTCCTTTGCCAGAGTAATCATGTGGTCAACATATTTGCGGATGACCATAGCCTTCACCTGTGCCGTCACAAACATCCAAAGTGAGCAGATTCCGGCCATATCCAAGAAGTGAACCATGAAAGGATTGACCCTACAAGCGAGAGCTCCATATTAGAACGGCTTACCTTGGTCGTGCGGATGGCGCCATGGCGAATAACCTCGGTGACCAGCGACCGAATGAGTGCCTTCCGCTGGTCTGCCGGCCGGCCTAGGTGCTTCACCCGGTTGCCATGACGCATCATGGTCCACTTCATGCCCGAAGAGGGCGCAGCAAGGGTCGCCTCTGCACAGGTTGCGTTGAAGGTAATTTGTCTGCTTGCGGTCGTTCTCCCCAGACTATGCTCTTGCAAACGAAAGCCCTACCTCCCAGAAAAGAACTAGTCTGAGCACTGCTTGGGGCCGTCAGCATCACCGCGCGGCTGACAGGCCGAACAGCCACTCGAACAGGAGCCGAGCTGCGAGCGGTGAAGACACCGCGGGCGGATTGAAGCGTAGCCATGTCTACCCTATGAAATTGTCAGTCAACGGGCAGAATTTGCAAGACTTGAACTTGATGAATGCTATGCTTGTGATTGTTTGTGGGCGAGCCGCCGTCGTACAACCTCACTGCTTAAAGACTCTTTCGGGAAAGCTTAGCATATACATCACTTGTTTGTGAGGAAATCTGATAAATACACACTATTTACCTTTAATAGTGTTGTCCATTTCGTGCGAGGATCCCGAGGACAAACTAGCGATATTCACCCTTAGGTATCCATATGGTATCCATAAACTCACAGATTGCCATCAGAGGTATTTAGATATGACTTGCATTCATCGATCTTACTATGCTCGATCATATCGCAGCATACCATACTTCTGCTTCCTTGGATTCTACGAGCCACAGCATAAAGCGAGTTTTGAGGCGGAAAAGGGGTGGGAGAATGTTTGTTGCCTTAGGGATACTGCTCTCAGTCGGCCAGGGCCAGCCGTGCCGCTTAGTGCAAGAGAGCTTCCATGCCCCTTGGGTGCATCCCGCTTGGGAGGATTACCAGAGCCACGTTCCGGAGCTGCCAGGGCGCTGGCAGGCACATGCTGTCCCCAAAATGTTTTGATCCATTGTGTATCCTAACGTCTAAGGCGAGGGACAGGCGTTCCTCCCAAAGAAGGCGGGGGCACAGACAATAAGTTCGACCTCCCGCAACCGCATGTTTGACTGTCACATGCCGTGCTCAGGCAACGAGCACTAAAAAGGCATGCCCATCGTCGCGTCTGCGGGTGTACTTGCCTTTCCGGCCCAAGTTATTGCTTTCCCGGTTAAATCCGAAGCCGAAAGGGCCTATGCCAAATAGACTCAAGACCCACCATGACGACAACAACCCCCCAACACATACATACAACACACGCACACACCAACCTGGACCCCAACGCATGCACACTGTTCAGCGGCGAGCACGCAGAACAGCTTAAACCATCAGTCACATCACCACTACCAGAACAACAACCACAACGCCGGAACGGTACCGTTTGCCCCCGTTTCCCTAACCTTAACTCCGGCAAACACAAAACGTACACACCAAGCCCCAGAACAACGGATGGGAGCGCCGCCGCCTAGTAATGTGCGTCTCAAGTAGCTGGCGCACACTGAGAAGTAACAATGTCCCAGCGACTGCGCATCAAGTGCTCATGCGTTTCCGGTTGGGCTGTTGGGAGTTAGAGGTTAACCGGCCAAACGAGCCAAATGAGCACACCGCGCGTACTTGCAGGCTTTGTGACTGCGGGGCGGTTGAAGACGAATTGCACGTTTTCGCGAGATGCCCTGCTTACACGAGCGCATGGGCTAAGTACGACGGTGGCCTCGTTTTTCAAGGGCGCAGCATGCGTACCATTATGAGGCCGGGGCCTGCCGGCCCTGTGGCATTATTTGGGCCACGGACCTCTCGGAAGACTCTGGGAGGTCAGGTACGTTGCGCTAAGCTAAGGCGCCTCGTGCTGAAGCGGTGACGACGAGGGAGGACGACGGCGATGGCCCCCCTCCCTCAAGTGTACCCGCATCATCAAGATAACAATATACCGTCCATGGCCCCTCCTCAGGCTTTTACGGACACCCCTGCACGGGCACGGACACGTAAAAATATCCGTGTCAGTGTCAGTGTCCGTGCAGGGGTGTCCGTAAAGTACACGTGCACAGTACACGTGCACAGTACACGTGCGTGCGGAGAACTTGTACATTGAAAATAGAAAAAGCGAAGGAAGTCGCCCGTGACGTGGCCGGCGGAGAATTTTACTCAGATTACTCAAAAACAGTTACAAAATTAAATAAACACGGGTAGATGTCCCACGCCGGGAAAATTTTTCTGCACGCGACCACAAATGCGTGACAGGGAAAACCTTCCCAACATGCAACGAGAAGTTAGTTATGGGAGAACCAACGTACGACCAACTCCCACCGTGTCGATTTGGTTTTGACCAGGGTGTTGACTCCTCCATTACACCGGACGATGCACCTGCAAAAACTTTCTTCCCTCGTTCTTTATTTTATTTCAGGTAGACATGAATTTTGACGCGTGGCTATGTATGTATGCAAGTCGTACGTCCGTGTACTACGTTCACCTACTAACTCCCGCTGCCGCTGCTGCTGCTGCTACTGCTGCTGCGTCGCATCGCATCATCATCGTATTACGCTGTGGCAGCAGCATGACCCTCTGCTTTGTTAGGAGCGCTAGCTCAGGATAGGATAGTAGGTGTTTAGGTTCTGTCTTGTTGGGACTTCAGTTGCCCTCCTATCGGTTATAATCGGTTGTAGTCGGTTGTAGCCACCCACCATATGTAGCCGCCCTTCGCCACTACGGCAGCGCCTCCTCCTCCTTATTTCTACGGGCTCTGAACATCATTCGTCAACCTAGGTCTACAGTTTTACATTCTAGATTTCTAACACATACTTTAGAAGTGTAACGACAACAACAACAACAACCCACACACACGCATACGTGCGTCGCTGGTGACTATTCGGAGCTCGTTTCTGTATGAAGCTATTCGTGCTGTAGCACCATCGCCACTTCCCGCATCGCAGCTCCGAAATGATTATTATTACAGGTATTCGTACGCAACGTACATGCGTTTCCTCTCAAGGTCCACAATACCGTACCTATCCCAGGCGCGTACATTTCCGGGTCTCGAAGAACCCCGCGCAAAAACATCCGTTCGTACATCCGTTCGCACAAAAATCGTACAGTAAACGTCCGACCACTCGTTTCTTCTTCTGGTTCTTTGTTTTTCAACAGCTATTACTTTTTCATTTCGTTATTTCCTCCAAATTTAAAAATCGTCAATGCCCGGCGCGCAATCATATAGAATCTTTATTGATTGTTTCATCTCCCCTGGTCGGTTGGGTGTAACTCGAAAGGAAACGACACGCGGCTGTAGTGCGGTCCCCCCACCGCTGCCCGATATTCATATATAGCCGCGTCGGGCAGCAGTGGGGGGAGCCACACCGCGTTTGGCGCTTTTGGCACATTTCCCTTTTTTGCACATGGCATCATTCTCCTCTCTTTTCATCCTCATCGTCTAAGATAATTTTTTGTAAAATCGACAGTATGCATCGACCAGGCTGTTCTTCAGTTCCTTTTGCGAGCGAGCGCTAACTAACTAACTAATTAACTAACTAACGCATACTCCAACAAGTACTGGCTACGTACTCCGGATGCGCCGCATTAGTGAATCATGTGAACTGTCGCCTCACGCTCCCCTGTACGGAAAGGCGGTACAAACAGTACACTGACATCGACAATGTCATTGGTACGGCAACGGACAACAAGACCGACGGCCCTCCGCTAGAGCCTCCGATTACGCTACTGCCGTCGTACATTAAACCGTCTCCAACCGCAATAGCGTGGATCGATCCATCAACCGCCTTAACCGTCCTCTGCAACCGGTGCAACCACCAACTGAACGGCAACTCCGCGATCAGTAGCTCAAGAAACCATTTCCAATTCAATTGGTTTAGGAGCAGCGGCAGGACGAGGCTGACGTGAAGCTTGTCATACTCTGCGGTAAGTGCCAGAAAGTGCGCCATTGACCGTGACGGCGGCGAAGCCGACTGCCACCACCATACACAAACCGCTATCGTCGCCACATGCGCGGCGTGGGCGACCAGCCCAGCAACAATTTTCATTCGGTAATAGCATAGCGGCGTCAAGATCCGCAAAAACAAGTACGGCCACGCACGAAGGACGTACGACAGCAGCAGAAGGTAGAAGATCGCGTTGAAGGGCCCCTGTTGTGAGTTGTAATCGTCATTGGCAGCAGCAGCGGCAGCGGCAGCGGCGGGGGCGGGGGCAGTGGCGGCGGCGGCTCCGCAGGCGGCGGCGGCGGCGGTGCCAAGAATGTCGGTGTGGCTTCTGATCTGCATCACGTGTACGAATGCGATGATCAGTTGCGCCGGCATTCCTATGTACAGATCCAGCATCACAAGGACCTGCGCCATGGCCTCGCCGGCACTGGCCTTTGCGACGTCCCCGCCGACACCGACCTTCGACGTCGTGGCTTCGACAGCCCTTCGCAAACCCTTAAAAGACAGCGGCGGCGGAGGCGACGTCGCCGCCGCTACAGCCTCACCGGCATTGCAGCGGCTGCTGCCCGCTGCCGCCGTTGCGGGGCCGCTAGCGCCAGCGGCGGCGCCGTCATTGCCAGAGCTTGTACGGCACGGAGCATCCAGCTCCGCCGACGTGGCTTTCTTCAGCTGCGACGTGCGAAAATGATCCTCGAGCAGCGAATCCGGCGGCAAAGGAACAACCCCAGGCCAGCTGCAAGCGGAGCTTAGGGCGCCGCCGCCGCCGCCGCCAGGTGGTCCTGACGCCACAGCCTCTGCCGGCATGTGTCCCACCATGCTCTTGTACGGCACCGCCGGGTTGTTGCTACTGCTGCCGCCGCCGCCGCCGCCGCCGCTGACGATGCTTCGGGCGCTCATGCCGCTGCCGGTGCTCTGGCCCTCTGAAAGCCGGCTGAGCCGACCAGTTAATGACGACGAGAAAAAGGCCGATGACCGCACTGGTGCGCTGTCACGGAATGATGACGGCACCGGCGGCGGCGGTAACGCCTGCTGCTGCGCTGGCGGCTGTGACGCCGGAGCCCGCGGCGGCGACGTTGGCGGCGGCACCTCCTCCTCCTCCTCCTCCTTAGCCGCCATCAGCTGCTGCTCGCGTCCGACGCCTCCGCCTCCGCCGGCCGCGGCGACGACGAACGGCGACTGATCATCTTCCACTGTCGTACTGTACGGCGGCATCCAAGTCCGCGTCATGAAGGGTGACGGTACGGTTAGCGTCGGCAAGGGAGACATGTCGAAACTGCCCCGGAAGTTGCCGGTACCACTCGAACGACCCGTGGCGAGCTGGCCGCGTCGAAGAAACGTGTAACTGCTGCTGGCACCGGCGGCAGCGGCGGCACCGGCGGCAGCGGCGGCGGCGGCGGCGGCGGCACCGGCAGCGGCAGCGGCGCCTGCGGCACTGGCTTTGACGGCGCCGCCGCTCTCGGGCGCGTACTTAGCACTGCTCGAGAATGGTCCGGCGCCTGTGGTGATACTATTATTATAATTGTTGTTGTTGTTATTGATGAGGCTGACTGTGTTCGTGTGTGTCGTACTGCTGTCCGGGGCCCGGAAGGTGCTGTTCGTCAGCCATGCACTGCTCCCCGCGGGCACAGCGGCGCTAGCGGCGGCGCTGCTGCTGCTGCTGCTGCTCGTCATGCCCGAGTCCTGCTGCTCGTTCGCCGCCGCTGCCGTACTGTACGGCAGGTACATCGTTGGGCGATATGTGTCGGCGGCGGAGTTGCTGGCGGAAGCCTGCGAGCACCGGAAAAGAAAAAACGAAAAAGACTTTATAACAAAAAAATGTTTAATTTAATCCGATTTTAGAATTTTGATTTAATCTATTTAATCTAATTTAACAGTTTAATCTTATTAAGTTTGGATTAAATCCGGTTTAAATTTTGATTAAATCCAATGGAGCAGAGGAGAGAACCCGTTTGGGGGTCGGGAAATGGGGAAGTTGAAGAAAAAGTAGATAAAAGCAGCAGGGGGGTTTCAAGAGACGGTAGAGAAGGAAGTCGTCGAATTGCAGACAGACATATACCGCAGCTCTTCCAGGCGGTACAAGTACGGCTTCCGGCGTAATTACCATGCCGTACTGAAAATTGCCTAACGTGCAAATATCGTATGCATTATAATTAGTTGTTTGTTGTTTTGGTTTATCGTCAGAAGTACACCTGTTCATGTGCGAAGGAACTTGTCGATGTCATGTCTTCGGGTAGCAAGGGCATCGTCTGTAGCAGTTGCTGCGGCGGCGGCGGCGGTGCCGGCGGCAGCCGCTGCGGCGGCAATGGCGGCGGCGGCGATGGCGACTGCGCTGAAGGCAGCACTGGCAGCGCCGGCACCGTCGAAGTATTTGCCACCGCCGCCGCCGCCGCCGCCGCCGCCAGCTGCTTTAAAGCCGCCTGTAGCTCCGAAACCAGCCCGATGCCTCCCGCCAATCCGTCGCACCTGCCGTCGCCGTCGTGCTCTGCCGCCGACGCAGCAGGGCGCTGCACCGACTGGAGACGGCGCCGCAGCACCCCCGCCGGGCCGTCTGTCACGCCCAACATTACCATTTGCGCCGTCAGCACGTACGACAGAACGTGCGCAAGGCCGTGTACGCGCAGAAAGTCCGTCGCCGCCGCCAGCACATCATCCCAAACCGCAAAGGGGACCAAGGGGTTGAGGCCCAGAACTAACGGCCCCATCGCCGCCGATGCCGGCGGCGGCAGCGGCAGCGTGCTCGTGTGCCAGTCGTACAGCGTACTCGACTCTGAACCGAAGGATGGGACGGCGGCCGCCGCCGCCGCCGCAGCCTGCGGTGCAACTGCGCCGACGGTTGTGGGACCGGAGCATTGCCTCGGCGGCAGCAGCCGGGACGTTGCCGCTGGCAGGGCCTGCAATTCCAGCGGCGGCGACGGCGACGACGACGACGGCGGCGGCGGCGGCGGCAGCGGCCGGCGGGTTATGCACAAGTCCAAATCTTGCACGAACGGGATCCAGTGGTCGTCGACAACGCGTCGCTCCGCCTCCAAACGCGTTTCTTGCGCCTGCACCGCCGCCGCTGCCTCGGCGGCGGCGTCGCCGTACATCGCAGCGGTTCGGCCCGAACCTAGCTGCTCGTCTACCATCCTGTCGTACAACGACATCAGCTCTGCTGCCGCTGGCTGTGGCATAATCATCACAGCCGAAACAGTCAAGAAGTGACTGTAACGAGGATTACCCCGTTGTGGCGGTTGGGCAGCAGCAACGCCAGATCCAGATCCAGATTCGAATCCAAATCCAGATCCAGACCTGGTGCTGGCGTTCGTGCTTGGCTGACTGGCGGACGGATCCGACGGCCTCGGAACCGTCCGCGGCGCCAAACCCAACACGTGTACGGATGCCAATCCGGGCCGCGCGCCTTGCAGTGTGATGCCGTACCGAAAGGACCCCACAGCGACGGTGGGTTCGCCACCAGCGCCACCAGCGTCTCCATCGGCCGTCAAGCGATGTGCGTCGTACAATACGCGATCTCCTTGCGTCACCAGGATACGGCATTGTGGCGGCGGAGGCCGCTGACGGCGGGAGCTGCCGCCGCCGCCGCCACTGCCGCCGCCACTGCCGGCCGAGGGAAGAAGCACCACCGTCGTCACAGCCCGACCTGTTTCAACGCCACCTCCGCCACTGCCGTCGCCGCCTCCGCCGCCGTCACCGCTGGTCGCGGCGTCGGGCAGCAGCACCGCACAAGGAGGCTGTAGCAACATCGTGTACGGCACCGGAACAGGGGGCCCGTTGGGGCCCCCTGACGGATCTAGCATTACTAAAGTACTGCCCACACGAGCTGCTGCGATGACGGAGAATGCGTCCAACGAAGCACTACTGGCGGCGCTTTCCCCCGGAGCCAACTGACTTGCCGTACCACCTGCCCGACTATGGCCGCAACCAGGGGCAGCCTCAGTACTGCGATCTGACGCCACATGCCGCGGCTCCCACCACCGTAACGGCGCTAGCGGCGGCGGCGCCGCCGCCGGCGGAGCGCGATGCGGCGCCGGCGGCGGCGACGGTGGCAGCGGCGGCGACGGCGGGGTAGGTACGGATAATGGCGTCGACGCCGGCACGGAATCGGTCGTCAAGGAGACGGTGTTGCTGTTGCTGGTACCGCTTCCCCACTCGCCGCTGGATGGCGGCAGAGCCATGGCGTACTCACCAGCGTGCGCAGCGGAGGTGGGCGTTACCGGCGGCGTTGATGCCGCCGCCGCAGTGCTGCTTGAGGCGTACGGCACGGGCATGTGCAAGCGCGGCCACAGCTCCGACGGTAGCCGCTGCGCTGGTGGCCCGCTGCCGCTTATGTTTGTACTCGTACTCGTACTCGTACCCGTGCTCAGGTCCGGACTGGCGTGGGAGGGTCGTCCGCCTCGCGCAACGCCACCCAAAATACGAAGCTGGTCGCCGCTGCTGCCATTATCAAGCACGCCATCATCGCCATCGTCGTCAAGAACATCGCCAGGCATGGGCCAGTCCTCAATGACGCCCACGCCGCCGCCGCCGCCACCTACGCCGTCGCCGCCGCCCCCTCCACCTACGCCGCCGCCGCCGCCGCCGTGGCCCGGTTCCGCAGCCCGAAGCTCCATGTCTCCAAGTCGCTCGAGCTGAGCTTGTCGTACGCCTTGCTGCTGCGTCGCCAGCGGCGGCCGCGCCGCCGCCACCAGTTCTGAGTCCCCCAAGGCAACCTGAAGCCCCAACAAGATGCTGTGCGCCACCCGCGATGACGAATCCTGACGGTCAGAAGACGTTCCGCGATCCGCCTCGGAGCGCCCTGCTAGCGGCGGCGGCGGCGGCGGTGTATGGCGCCGCCAGAGCACCTGCTGCTGCCGTGACGGCGGCGGCGGCGCCGCCCGCCAGACGTCATCGGCGGGCAGCGGCGGCGCCGCACCTGAGCACCGCGTCTCTTGAACGCCACTGTGCGGAAATGGTGACGGCGGTGGCAGCGGCGGC